CGGGTTAATGGAGTGCAATGAGAGTGTCACAAAGAACTCTATCCAAAAAGATGCCACTAAATGTCATCCGCCACCACCGGAGTCAGTGCGTGGTTAAATTTAGGTGGGTGAAAGCTTCATGTGAGCGATTCCCCGTGGCTACGTCGTGATTCACACGCTGCCTCAAAATGATGCTTTTTTTGGTTGATTTTCCAACTTCTTGCAACAGCTGTGAGGGCGATAATTCCAGCGTTACACGGGCACTGTGAGGAAATTAATTTCTCCACAGCCTATAAAAAGAATGAAAAATCACCTCTCTGTTTCAGTTACTTATCTTAAGGCAATACTGTACCAGCTGGAGTCTAATGAGCACGGTCATGCTGTAATTTTGGAAGTTCACACTGACCATTCACAGCCCAGCTTTTTGTACAAATTAAATTTGAATTCCCTCTTTTTCCCCTTCAGTTTGTGTTTATAAGACACACAACATTTCAGGCTGCACTGACAATCATTCGGGCAGTGGGGCTCTTTTAAATTAACGCTTCTCACAGTTTCTTGTAGACAGACTCACAACAATGAGAGACCCACAGCAATATTTGTTAAACATGAAACAAACTTGTTGCTCTTACATTGTCCTCTCTGACTCCAGTGAAGCGTAATCTGCCTTTTGTGCAGACTCCGTTTGTGTGATTCCTTCACTGTGCTGCGGTGACTGATGGATGCTTGTACACAGACTAAGAAAGAGCGAGAGAGACCTCTCAGTTGAGATGGGAACAGGGAAAAAGCATCTTGGACAAAGGTCTTAATCTCTTTGGAAATTAGACAGTTATTATGTATGTTGCAGGCCAACGAGGCCTACTTTGACTTTGCTGTGTGGGCGTGTTGTGTTCCTGTCTTCCCAGCCTTAGGTGCCACCCATTTTCCTGTATAACCAGGAAATGTCTTAGTAATTAACCCTGAGAGTGCTTAATCTATGTGTTTATTCTTGCTTGAGGGAGAGTGTGCGTTAATTCTCATCATCGTTTCCCAGTTTTATTTCAGCATTTTTGCTCTGGTTTTTTTTTTGTTGAAAACAGGTGCTCGGCTGTCCCTTTAAGCTAAATTATCAATTAAACCCTTTTTTAACTCCCTGCCTCCTTTTCCTCGTATACGTTTATTGTTCCTTCTCCACATCTGAAGTGTGGACTCTCTGGAGAGCGTAACAAATGAACACTCATCTGGGATTCAGACCCAGGACTTCTTAAACGTGTTATTTTTGCTTAGATTTCTTAGTTTTTGCTTAGTTTTCTAGTAAGATAAACAATTCACAAGGACTACCAAAGTAATGCATAGTCATAAACATGTGCATAGCTATCTGTTATCGCAACTGCACACGTTTAAACGTGTGCTGGCTTGCAAGTGACACGTCAGTCTTGTTAGGTCCAACATTTAAAGATTTCTGTTTCTGCTGTTTTACAGAAATTGACCAGGGTACTCAATCAGACATGCAGCAAACATAGAACAGAGGAACAGAGATGTTTCTGGATTAATGGAGAGGAGTGCACATTTGAAAGCAGCTTTAGACAAAAGATGTGACATTTACTGATGTAAGTGGCTCTCTTCTCTTCTCACGGAGGGGGGGTATGTGTGTTAGATCTTTGGGTACAGCATTTGTAACTCTTTAATCTCAAATACCCACTTACTATCTATTTGGATATGCAATTTCATTGTGGAAATCACCATTGAATCATGTAGTTGAAAGCTCCATTAAAAATGCTGGTAGGTGAATGTATGAGCTCAGATTTTGTTGTTATGCTTCAATTCTCTTCTTTTTTTCGTCTTCACTGTCTTTTGCATGTGCCCCTGCTGCTTATGTAAAATCATGATTTTCACATCAATTGGCACAGAGCAGGGCGAATCTGTTATTGTTTGCTTGCATGCATCTTCAAAGCCACAGATTTCCACTCCTAGTTGGATGTGAAAGCACAGTCACGGCTCTGTGTTCAAGCTGGAGCCCAATGTCCCCTCTAAGCTCTAAGCGCTGAATGTTCACAGACTTCAACTGACGTCACCGCTGCTGTCGTGCCACGATCGGTGATGAAACACCAGTTTGCCAGGCTTGAGATTCAATTCGTCACGTTAATTTATTAGGAATTTGACATTCAAAAGCAGATCTTTTTCACTTGAAGGTTTCTGCAAAGTATTCCAATCAGTACTCGTGCTTTTAGACTGTGATTAAAAGAAACATAACAGGCAAACTTGATGCATAAGAGCACTGGATCAGACTGTGCCAACAGGACTACACCATGCACTCAAAAGGTTTACTTTACTTTATTGTTTACTTCCCATATTCCTCCGTTTTCTGGCTCTTACCCAGGATGCAGGGGCATGCTCTAACCACCTCGCCTACGAGGCGTCAAGGAGGCATCCTGGTCACAACCCTGAACCACCTCAACAGGTGGATGACAAGCTCCTAACCCAGACACCCTTTTGAGGAACCTCATTTCTGTTGATCGTATCAGCGATCAACTGAAATGAGCTGTCACTTCCCACAGCTCATGGCCATAACACAGGAATGTAGATAGACCAGTAAATCTGCCTGCCTTCATGCTTACTTCTGTCTTTACCACAGACTGGTGCAGCATCCCCATCACTCCAATTCATCCATCAATCTGTGGCTCCACTCTCCCCCCACTCATGAATAAGAACCGAGAAACTTGAACTTCTCCACTTGAGACCCCAAATGATTCCCAAACCAAGAGTGGGCCCTCCACAGTTTCAAGAACCATAGCCTCAAACTTTTCATCCCAGCCATTTACCACTTAGCTGCAAACCACCACCATGAAAGCTGGAGGTTTTCACTCAATGAGGCCAACAGGATCTGCAAAAAGCAGAGACGATGATCCTGAGACCACAGACATGCCACCCCCCATCTCTTGGATTCACCTAGAAATTCCTTTCATAAAAGCAATGAACAGAATCGGTAACTAAGGGCAGCAGTAGCGGTTTCTCCCAGAACAAGTCTGACTCGTGTAAGCTGCTGTGTGACTGAGAATCTTATAGCTGTGTCTAAACACGTCAGATTTCTTCAGTGTGAATTTGTGTGGTCACTGGTTGATGACTCGGTTCACGTAAATAAAACCACACGCATGCTTGCTGCGGGCTGTTTTACTGAACCAGATAATCCCGTTCGGTGCGAGGCTCATTCAAACCACCATTATGAAACACCTCTCAGTTCTAAAAACAGCAATATCATAAGATTAGTAACACATGTTTTTATTTAACATCAAAACTTCCTCTGTGTGGACTCACACAGTCATCACTGTACAGTGCTAGAGTGCTGTGGGCTACGCATTCTCTCAAGCAGACTAAATGGAAAGCGTATATAAAGGGACAAAAAATTCAATCAGAAAGACCTCGACTACATACTGGTTTCACAGTGGGACGGCGCCGTCCTCTCACACGTGCATGTATCAAAGCCTGTGAGCGCGTAAAGGGAGAGCACTGGAAACAGGCCTCTCAGCCACCGTTACAGCAATCCCTCATTCTGACTGAAACATGTTTACACAGAGTTAACAATGCGAAAGATCGAAACGTCAAACAAAGAGTTTCCATAAAATGTTGTGTAATAATGAACACCTGTCAACTGTGACTTTCATTTCCACAACATATTAAAATGTGAGGTGCAATTGGATTTTCTTCCACTGCATGATTTAAAAATAGGTATGTATTTCAGAGGAATGACTGCTTTCAGCAGAGGCAAAACTATCACATCTTCCTAAAGATGAATATATCTGAGTTTTGCACTTAATGATAAAGAAATTCACATCAGCCAAAGCCTATTATTCAAGACATTTAAATGTGTATGGATTAAAAACAAACCGTCCCCTTTCTGTCCTAAGCGCCACTAAACAGGGAAGTGTATATTTATGAAACTAATTACATTTAAATGTATTTATATAGTGCCAGTTCACAACAACAGGAGTCATTTGTAAGGTAAAGACCCCACGTGCACACAGGCTGTGACTGTAGGCAGCTGCAAACATCCTACAGTGGAGGCTGCAGGACGACAGGACTGTAAGTTGGATGGGTGAGATGCTCAATAACAAATAAATAGACATGTTTTTAGCTATTTATTTACTTATTTGTAAATCTCCAGCAAAAAAAGGGAAAGTATCCATTTGAATGTCAATAACTGGTGATTTTCCACAGATGGGAGGTGGGGGAAATACATACTGTGTAAAAAAAGGTCTGAACTATTAATTATGGTCAATGCCACGAATCCTAGCTTAAGTTACAACATCCTGACAAACTGTAGGGGTTTGTTTGTTTTTTTTAGTTTGTTTGGGGGGTTTTGTCCTGAGGAGCCAAAACCCCTGTAGCTTTAAACTGAGTTATCAATGTCCACCATTTCTGAACTACTTTACACTCATAAAAGTGTTGATTATACCAAACAAATGTATAATAAATACTCTGTGTGTGCACAGGGTTGCAGGAGTTGGGGCTTTAAGCTGTGTGCAATTCAATAGGGTAGAGTAGGAAAAATATAAAGGAAAAACATTTCCTGCACACACGGGGCTCGTAATTTGTGGCTCCGCTCCTGAACACACTCAGTAAAATCTGATAAAGACATTTTATATGTTCCTTTACAACATACTGAAACCTTATTCAGATTTTCCCCCCAGAGACACCAAAACATGTTCCCTACTGCAGCTTTAAATCCAGCTTTATTGTGATACACACGATTTCAAACCAACTTTGCAGTCTTACAAGTGTCTACCAGAATAAGCAAACACATCATGCGCTACAATGTGTGTACATATGCTGCAATTGGGCTTAAATACCCGTGAGCTGTGTACATTGCAATAGGGTGGAGTTGGGAGGGGAGGTAGTGGGGCTGGGGGGTATTTCTTGCACACATGGGGCTCATAATTTCTGGCTACGCTCCTGCACAGGCTGATAAAGACATTTTCTATGGTGACTTATTGTTACACGACTAACGTATTTTATTCCTCGTATTAAAAAAAAAAGAAAAAACTTACTCATTAGGCCCTTTATTGCTTTGGCCTCGCGTAGGCTACTTCTCTCACCAATGCGGCGCACGTGCACGAGCGGTGTGCGCAGACCGGGAGCGCGCGCGGAGGCGGTCCGGGGCTTCCTCAGTTTTCTGTAATCGCTTTTCTGCTGCTGCTACCTCCAGTTAAATAGCAAGGACACGGGAGCGAGCAGGCGGCCGTGAGAGGATATACTTTTTTCGGTACCTTGGGATTACGACGCGGAATTGCAGCATCGACGGCCAGCTGTCAGGTAAGGTCGACACACGCGTTCAGCCGCCGTAGATCCGCGAAAAGTAACTAAATGTCCCGTAAAAAGTGTCGTTTTCCAGTGAAGAAGAAGGGAGGAGGAGGAGGAAAAGAAGGGGGAGGTGGTGGTGGTGGTGGTGGTGGATGTGTGGGACGAGCCTCCCTTTGTGCCGAGGCAGGGTCACTGCTCTTCACCGCACAATGTGGACACTCCAGAAACGGCGAGGAGCCACACGTTTACCCCCCGCACCGCCACCGCACACCGCTCCGCTGGCACTGCCGCCGCTCACCGTCCTCCATCAGCCTCGCCGTCGGACGAGTCCGGCATTAACGCCTTCTCCTATGCGCATTTTCATTGAGTTTAAAACACCGAGGCCTGCTTCTGCTTCTTTTTTTTCCTTTAAATACCCCCCTCAGCGGTAATATAGCGCACCCTTCTCCTCCTCCCCCCGGCCTTTTAACGTTAGCTAGCTCCCAATTATGTTTATGGTCGCTTTTGTTTTAGCCGGCCCCTTTTGTGTGCTTCACCCCCACAAATGTTGACCTCCTTGCTCTGACAAAGCAATGAAGTGATGTCTTATGCCACACACACCTCTTAACTTGTGTCCGTTGTTATTTTTGAGGGGATATACGGACCCTGGCATCTCGAAACCGGGTACGTTTCAGCCGTTGGTGTCCTTACCGTCACCGTGAAACGCCCCCCCCACCCCCCCTCATAGAAAGACGACCTATCCCCCGCTTCAGTTGATCGCTTTTATTCATTTCGTGCCTATCAGAGAGCTTAAATCGATCAGTTTTGCTTTTAAAAAATAAGTTCATGGTATTTATTCAAGCCCAGGGGCGTTTCCAGGATTTAGAAAAACAAAACAAAAAACAGGTAGCATATTGGGGGGGGGCAGAAAAAAATCTGAATCAGAAACAAATACAGTGTGGAAAAACGTTGAAAAAAAAACATGTTGGGTACCAATTTCAGGCTCATGGTGTGACATGAAAAATGGTGCTTAACCACAGCTTGGGATTTATTTTAAATTTTTTTGTAAAGTGGCAACACAGTCAAAGGGTAGCAACTAACAGCAACCAGACACTGCTGACAATCAGCTGCATTCAGTAACTTCAAGAGGACAGATGCAACTGTGAGGCTTGAGATTGACATTTGAATGTGGTAAATGCATTAGAGGATTACCTTGCTACAAAGCATTTTGCCAAATTGCAGTATTTGCTCGTTGTCCGTTGCTTTGTCACTGATGGTTTGTTGCTATTGGACATTCCCATCTCTGGTCAGTCACCTCTACCTTAGAATGTCCACTTCGCACCACCCCGTCTAAATTACTGGATATGGTTTTCATTTGCCATGTTGCTGCCAGTTATGTTCTTTTTTTTTCCCCCTTTCTTTTTTGGGCACCCCCTGGTGCATGCCCGCCAATTTCATAACTTTTAATGCAACATAATTACATGAAAAAGTAAGGGCTTGAATAGAGGTGGATATAGAATAGAAAATTAGCTTCACTCTGCACTGTGAAAACCCATCAGCTGGTATTCTCCTGACATCACTGATGATCAGAAATGGAGGGAAAGTTTACTGAGATCATTCGAAGGCAGCTAGCTCGGACTCTTTCTTTGATGCTTTTTAGATGAAGAAAAGAAAAGAAGCTTAGGGCCTCTGCAGGACTTCATGTTACTGTAATTTGACTCGCGCTATCGGCCTTACTCCTTATCCTTTTGACTCCTTGGGGTGAACACTCATGGGTTTTTAACGCAAATGTATTCATGCAAGTAATGCAAAACTTACATCACTAGCTTTACTGCGTGTAACTTTTAACATGAATTTAATCTAAAAGGTTATTATTATTATCAGTTTGGTTTTTTTTAAATGGTTTAAAACCTCCCAAGGTGAGCTCAAGTTATCAGCTGAATCATCTGAAGTTCAGCAAGCACTGGGCAGCACTTTCATGAAATACCAGCTATTACCACTAGATGAAGCATTGTAGGAAATTCTTAATTATAAAGATTTCCTGGCAAAAGCACAGGCAAGTTTCTTGAGGAAATGGAGACTAGAGGTACAAAGAATTGCCAAAAGTAAAAAGAACAAAACGTTTTAAGTTGCTCAGAGGTAAAATGATGCCCCCTGGTGGTAAGGTTTTAGATAACTTACAAAACGTAACATAGCATAGGAGAAGTAGATTTATTTGTTTATAATCTGCAAAAGAATATGTAAATAGTTTTCAGTCGGGGCTGAAGCCACCCCACAGCCCCCACTCTGGACACACCCCTGTTCCTGCGTTGTCTTTGTCGTTTGTAAACAAATGGGCAACAGAACCAGGGTAGTGTATTGATATTTATATTTTTCATCCACAAAGAGCTTTCTGTGTCTCAAACTACTACCACATTATCCAGTAAAGAAGAGGAGAGAGTATGACACAGAGCAGTGACAGGACCTCTAGTTTGTTTTAGAAATCTAGGCCAGTGGAGTCTACCTAATGACTGCTCTGTCTGTAACCCCTAGCAGATGATTGGGTGAATGTCTCATTATATTCTTAACAGGGGCCTTATACATGTGTAATCTGCTGCACTGTAAGCTTTGACAAATGTCTTTTCATCAGCTTTCACTCTGCACAATTTTAACCCTCGCCCACACCCAGCTTTTGATTTAGATTAAGTACATTTTGCTGTCCCCAAGTCTACCCAACTATCAGACATTGTGGAAACTTGCAACCTATTAATATTTGCACGTTCATTTATTGCTTTAGGGCCCACGATGTCCAGCGAAGTGCAGAGACCAGACGACAGCCCCAGCACAAGCGGGGGAAGCTCGGATATTGAGCAACGGGAATCGGTACCTGCTGAACAGGAGCGAGAGCAAGCACAGCCCAAAAAGAAGGAGACTAAGATCTCGAGTAAAACCGCTGCTAAACTTTCAACTAGTGCCAAGAGGTAAGAAAAGAAGAGAGGGCTTGAATCTGGCTTTGAGAGCCGAGCGTTTACACAGGAGTTGTTTGTTAAACTGAAGGCCTCTCCCCCTTCTTGTGCCCCAGGGGTGTGAAGTAATATAAAAAGACTGCAGTCCCACAGGCATTGTCATTTCAAACATCCACGCGATTCAGTGTGCCGCTTAACCCACAGAAAGGAAGAAACTCACACAGCTCTGCACTGAGGTGTCACTGCTGTCATTTATAAAGAGAGATTCTCGTTCCAGCCTGTTTGTTCGACTGGATGCGCCTCGTGCTCCACAGCCTACACCACCACCAACACTTACCTCCAACCAGTCTTCGCACTTATTCCCAAAAAAGACAGCCGATGAGAGAATTATGCAACCACTTGGCTTAGGCCACTGAGTCTTTTTATAACAGAGACTGACATTATGAACATCTCTGGGGGGGTTTTGTAAGCAGAAAAAGCCAAAACATGGGCGGACTTCAGCGTTGTTTTTGTGCAGCAGTGCCTGAATCCCAATTTTCTGGTTATCTGTAGCAAATGATCAAAGCTGTCTAATTTATCCTCGTGCTTAATAAACAGATAATAGGAGTACTTAATCTGGTTATATTTGCGATCTAACACTTGAAATCTGCACTGTTATAAACTGTTAGTAGTTTTACTTTTACCCAAGCAAGCATGACTGATTTGCATATATTTAAGGCAACTATCAACAATTGTCCAAAACTGCAACTTCTGTTCACTTCTCAGTTTCTTTTTTTCTTGGTGGTGTGGCTGATGTGGAAGCTGCTGGCCAATAATTGACTTGTTTTAAACAGGAGGGTGGAAAGAAATCACACCAACGGACTAGTCTAAAAGTAAGAAAACATTTGGCAATCAAAGCTGAGCACAAGCTAATGGACAAAATTACATGCTCTCCATAGACGTATTGCATTTTTATTATGAGCTATTTGAAACAGTTAATTGTATTCTTAAGAAACCAAATCATATTTTTAATATCACTAAAATGTGTGGCACAAATTAGTAATTACTTCTTTCCTCGCGCGGATGTGCCGAATAAGGCTGCACTTGGCAATAACCAGTAGTATCACTGCAGGAGCGGAAGGAGAGGAGGTTAATGTGCACCTACTATTGTAGCACTGTCCATCCTCCATAATGCACGTGTCGCCCAAGTGGGTGGATGCTGGAAGTTAGAAATAGTCTAACTTCCAGCATGAAGAGACTTTTACATGCCGACATACAATTATGGCTGAAAAGAAAAGTGGGTGGATATTAGGTGAAAGTGAAAAGGTGGAATTACATCATGACATATTTTGGCTCTTTGCTTCCTTACCTTCTTCACAGTTCTACTAACTCCTTCAGCCTGTTTTTAGATGTTTAAAATGTTGCACCTGCCTGTCCTCCACTCTTCATCATGCCAAACAACACACAGCAGCTTTCCACTGACAAAGCAAGCTTCTCTCCAAGTGCAATCTTATTACTCTGTAACTCAAAAATCAATCAAACTGTCAGAAATATCCTTCTGTTTTCTCCCATGATGCTGATAAATCAGTGTAACCGCTTCCCACACACACACAAGCATGAGCTTGTCATGTCAATGTTGGTTGTTTGTGGAGCTTCTGAATGAAACTATAGTGAAGCATGTTCAGTTTAGTATGACTCTCATGAAAATGATCATATTAAAGCATCAATAATTATATCATCATCAGTGTGGAGAACTGTATTGCAAAGCCACACTGTTATTACACATATTACATGTCAGCAGGTTAAATGTCAGGGCTGACATACAGCCAGTCATTGTCTATATGAACCTATTGCAGAACTTTCCACCTAACTTGAGGGGAAGTTCACATCTTCCCCTGACAGGGAGGGTGAGGACCACCGCAGCCCCGATTAGTGGTGGGCACGAT